GAGTCGATATCTTTGGAGCCGACGGAAATCTCAATTATGCGGCGAAAGACGCGACACCCGGGCACCCCCACGTCCCCAGAGAGCCGTTAACATTTTTTTTTTTTTTTTTTGTAACGAACATTTTTACAACCCGTTTATCGTACACAAGAACAACAATCCCATAACGAAACGCAGCCGGTTAAGACAAAAGAGATAAAGAAGAGTCATCGCGATCGTCGTATATTATAATAATAATAATAATAATAATACATGCGATGTATACATATTTTATACACACACACACACTGGGTCTATTGTCTACGTGTTCATCATAATGAAAAGTATCCGGTTTTCGGCTTCTGGACCCGCGCTTAAAACGCGATGGGGCATAGAACGACGGGGAGGAGGGGTAGTGAAGGGGCAAGTTATCTGCATCCGGACGAAATAAGGGGGAACGACGAGAACACATCGGACCGGACCACATCCTGTGTGTGTGTTCTTCTTCTTATTCTTTTTCTTCTTCTCATGCACACGTACGCGCAGCGATGCGTCGAGCAACTGGTCCACACGCATTCATTATGTATAATAATATACAGGTATATTATACACGGTCGGGGTTACCCTTCTCGTCCGACTCTGGACGGACGTCGTCACCTGAGTAATCACACGGTGCGCATTTATACGGTTTTCTCCTTTCCGTTTCCTCCCGCCGCCACAGCCGGACGCATCCGCACAAGTGTGGCGGCAACCGACCATATAGGGTTTATCATACAGGATGTCCAACAACAACAATACCCACGAAATGCACAAAATATTTTCAAGTCACCTTCGGAATTTGTTCGATATAAACGAGACAAGTACATTTACCGTGTGCAGATTTAATAATGAGCCGAATTTGCCGGGTTAGAAGATCCACGGGGATGGCAAGTTAATTTTGCTACTTAGTCCACCCCCCCCCCTCTCAAATTGTTACCACGTTAAGATCAAAACGACAATTTTGTTTTAAATTGTACTGTTTTAAATGTCTTTAGAATCATTTTAATTTTGTTAAGCTAGTTGTTTTTGAAATGATCTGCTTGTCGCGGTTAAGATGTAGTTAGTACACCGTTGGGACGGTTATTGATGAGACCTTGCGAAGGCGACCTCATCGTCCGACGGTAGTAAACAAGATGTTATTTCTGCCAAATACCCAGTGCAATGAATGTTTTTGCGGGATTCCCCGACTAAAAGGGTAATCGGGCCGCACCTACTGCACGACGACCTGGCGTCCGTCTTCCGAGGTCGAGAACAGACCAACCCTTACACTTTTAAATCTTATCAAATGACCTCTTAAGGCGGCAAGATGTGTGATGATATCAGGTAATAATCGTCGTCAACGGCGTTACCGGTCGGAATACCGGCGGCGACGGTACACGGTCGCGACCTTTCCCTAATTGCCGTTTAACGACACACAGGCAGAACGAGGAAGGAAAACGGTCACGGCCAAAACCGGAAACGAAATGATAATAATAATATATGAGAAATTATTCTATAATCGTTTGGGGGATGAGAAGGAGACTGTATAACGGTTTTGTGTCGGCAAAGGGGTGAGACTTGAGGCCGCTTCGCTTCCGCGTGTGCAATGATATTGTGTATACTTATAAAAAAAAAGACAACTAAAAAGGTTGACCAGTTTTTTTCGTACGCGCCTCGATGACCTTTGACAAACAACAATGAAAAGACGGTGTGCGTGTGAAAAGATATGGAAATTAGGGATTATAACATCGAAATTGTCTTTGTGTCGGGCGCGCGCAAAGGGTAGCCTAGTTATGAGACTTATGGGCCGCGGATTTGCATAGATCCCAACAGTCGACAGAGAAAAAAATGAATACAATTTGGCAACTAAAATACATCAGTTTATTTGTTGTGCAAAACTCTGAAAGTAGGCGATACTGTGGACACATTATTGAAATCTTTGTTGGGCGCCTTTTTATGTATTTGTTGTTAACGGTTGTTTAAACTTTGGACAAACCGAATACGAACGAGCGAACAACAATACACGGTTTACCAATCGAATACGAATGACAAAAAAGAAACATAAAAATTACACAAACAAATCTTGTCAGCTGACTAAGGCGAATTTATTAACGACGAAGAGGCGCGATTCTCGTCATTGCGTACAATATTGTAGTCACCTTATGGCAAGTTTTTTTTTTCTTTAAATGGGCCGATATAGGTAGGAAAAAAATAGTTTGTTTAATTTTTATTGTAACGCGGTAAACGTTCAACAATTTGAAGAACCGATAGTATTGTTCTCTTCCCGTCATAATAACGTACACTGTGTGTGCGCGACAAGAGTGGAGATTCGAGAAATATTCGAAAGGTATTTAGATAACGCGGATAATATTTTCTGCGATCACTTGGGTGCGTACGTAGGTATACTAGTGTCTGTGTGTTTGTGTTCTCGTTATCTGTCTAATGCTCTAGGCAAACCGCGCTGCGTTTGTTCAGGAGATAAAAAATAAAAATGCGACAAATAATAGCTGCACCCTTTTTTTCCCATTTAGTAATCGATATTATCTACACTCTACGACGGATGTCTCGCTCGCTTCTCTGGAATCTTAGCGGCTAAAAAAATAAGCGACCGCATATTATTAAATGGAAAATAGTGACTTGTACAACCCGAACGCGTGTAATGGCTTCAAAGGGTATTTTGATACAATTTGAATAGAGTAGTAAAACTACCAAACAAATTTTTGATATAAATTTCGGTCTTTTATGACGATCGAGTAACTCGTAGTTTTTGTGTTTCTCTAATTCAATTATACCTAAGAAGACACAAAGCTTATTAATAGGGATGGCAGCAGCTTTGTGTATGTACATTAATGGACATAAGCGTGCTCTTAAGATTCCTAGATCAGAAGATGTACACGGTTAAACAAAAAATAAATATTTTACCAGTTATTTTCATGAAAAATATCAATTTTCATACTGTTTGGCTAACAGCGAGACTAACACTCAGAAAATCTATACACAATTATGTATTAAAGGCATAGTAAAGTAAAAAGTTCCAAAAAAATACTATTGTCCATTACCGAGCCAAAGCTTTCCCGGTTGGGTCTCCGACCGGTGGACCGTTGGCAATGCAAACGCTCTGTATGCGGATTACATCACTCTCGTTTGACAGACAGGTTATTTCGTGAGTATATAATATTTATAATATGGGTATTATTACAATTTATTATTATAAGAGGTCGACATATTATTGAGTATTTCAAGTTTTTAACGAATCCTCAACAGCTACTCTGTGCTATGTTAATAATCGAATAATCGATCACGAACAGTGTTGGCACAGCAGATGACACACGCGAAAACAGCGAGAAAAATAAATGTGAATATTTGTTTTTCGAATGAAATGTTATTTGGGAACAAAAAATGAAATAACATTATCTTCGGCTGACGAAACACATGCGCCGCCGCGCCCAGCAAAGATGTTGACGGCGGCACGGTACTTTCCGAATCCATATAGATAAAAGCCGTACGACTATTATTATTATTATGCACCTATATATGGTATACTTTTATACACAGTGTGTCCCACAAGTCCCGCCACATACAACTGCTTAAAACTTTATTTAACCGTACAATTGTTCGCTAAATTTCTGGACTTTGTGGTCGACTTGAAAAGATGGCGTTTTTGAAATTACACCATATTTTTTACTAACTAATGATACCACTAATGACAAAAAAATTAACTTAAATTTTCCATTCGACATAGGTACTAATACGTCGGGACATGCTGTACTCTGTAGGATTATTATTAATAATATTATATATTTTCCCCGAAGTCGGATCTGTGCCGGCGGCGGCCGACGATAACGTTCTAAAAGTTTCCGTGGTAGACACATTAGTCGTTATACTATCGTATTCAGTCTTTATCGGATTTGTCGTGCTCGTTTAATTGGATTTCGCACCGTTCACGTTATTATTATGATTATAACTGTGCTCAGGGAAGACTTCCTAAGTACAGGTGTCTCCTCGTCAATAAGATAAATCTGTTTAGAAACTAGTAGTTTTTTCATCGAAACACCCAACGGTATTCTTTTTCTCTTCCGGCACCGAGCACACGCTGTCCAGTTTGACCGGACCCTGGCAAAGGGGCGAGCCGACCCCGGAAATAGGACCCGCTACATAGCTCTTTTTCCCTTTCTCTCTCTCTCTTACTATTAATTTATAATGAACAACGCCAGTTCTCCGCAGACGATGTCGTGTAATAAAATATTGTGAAGATATAATAATAATATAATATATAATTATATTATATAGGTATACATAGACATTCTATTATTACAACGATTATTATAGATTATATACATGAACACTGATTATTATGGTTAGGTGGAAGCGCAATATAATATTTATACCGTTTCGTGATAACGGGTGTCGGCAACAATAATAATAATAATATCTCGACGGACATGAATACGATATTTTAGCGTTTAGAAAAAATAACCGATAATAAATGTTTATATATATAAATATAAATATATGGAAAAACGATCTGTCGCTAATAGACGGCCAGAGGGACAAGAGAAATAGGTATTCCAAATTACGAAGTAAAAAAAAAATGATAATAATAAAACAAAAATAAACATATGAGTTAATCGCAGGTATGCACACTGTTTATCGTCGTTCGGTTTTGTTATCGAGATGATGTATAAAAATAGTCGGATAATTCAGATTATTATAATCGAATCTCCCAGAAATCTCCCAAGACACGGTTATTATTATTGGACGGATCTTTTTTTCTTAAGGCAATTGCCATGAGCTTGGTTAAGAGCTTTTGGGACGTATAATATGTTTAAGAGGGTGAGAATTTTGTGCAATGAGTGTACTAGATACCTGTCTCACTCTGTAAACGAGGGAAGATAGGATGAAAAAAAAAGTTGATTCGAATTAACCGAGTGAGACGAGCGAATTTGTTCGGGGAGGGAAAATGTTATGTTACTAGTAATATTGTAATGAGTTTTTGTAATATTTACCTGGTTCACGCGGTACGGGGGCGTCCGTGGTCTGTGCTCTTCATGGGCGGACGAAGCGACGCAATGGTCCGGGGCGCCAGCAGCAGCGATAGTGCGCGGACGGACGGAATTCGACGGCGGCGTTGGCGTCCGCGGGCTCGTCAGGCGTGTGTACTAGAGGTAGGTATAACTGAGTATATATATAATATATAAATTTACGATTATGTTCAGTGGCTGTAGTTTGTACGTCTATATATATATATGTATGTACGTATATACTATAATAGAAAACGTCGTGAGCGTGAGCGGTTAGCGTGGACGCAAGCGCGGTGGTCACGGTCCGTTCGGAGCAAACTCCACTGGTCGTCGGACACAGCAGCACTACACATCGGTGCGGGCCGGGACAGGTTGCATGGGGCCCCGGGTACAGACGCCGACCAATCCGGACGCGCCCACAGCTCGCCGAGTCCTCCCCTCCGCGCCAATCTCCGCCGATCTGTCGATTGATTTGCGTCGGTTACGTGACCGCGTAGCGCGCGCGTACGGCAACCCCTCCCCACGCGGCCCCGCGCCGGTCTCACCCGCTCTCCCCGTCATCACCGTTGTCGCTGCCGCCGCAGCCGTCTTGTATCACTCTTCGCGTACAGCTATCGCCGCGCACCATCGCCGTCACCGCCGTCACCGTCACCGCCGCCGTCACCACCGCGCCCCGCCACCTGTCAACGGTGCGGATGTCGCGCGCGCCGCCGTCGCGTACCTGACGCGGCGCTTAAGAGGAGGAGTAGAGGAAGAGGGGTACGCCGAGATATTATTGATTTTGAAAAAAAAAACAAGAAAATTTTTTAAAAAAAACACCATACGCTATAAGTCAAAAACGCACAGTCAAGATGTCGTATGTGTGTGTGTGTGTATCGCCAATTTTGTGGGTTCAAAACAACAACAATAATTCAAGTATTAGATACTATCGTGCAACGATATTGCGTTGAAATGATTTTTTTGCCAATTCGAACTCGGGTTAAAGGTTTTAATTTCCCGTAAGATCCATACATACAGATTGGTATAGTGTATACATTATCATGATTGATTTAAAAATCAACAATGTGAATATTATATACATGTTATACATTTTTTTTTTTTGCGATGGAACTTTCGAGGTCACGCAGTCATCATAGTAGTACACAATAATTGTTATTGAGATGTGTTTTTTGTTATTCCTATGGTGGATCCAAAACAGATTAATACAGTCGTGGGACTCGAGAAAATGTTCGCACGCCTTGACCGTCTCGGAATACTGTTTGCCGTTTTATAAAAAAAATATTATTTAATTAATTAACCTTTAGAAGTTCACCTCGACCGAGCGTACATTGATATATCATTTTTTTTTTACATTCGAACACAAAAAAATATTTTCACAGAGTCAATTATACAATAAAATACTATGATATCTGTAGCTTCGTGAAAAAAGAACAATCGGACAATTTTTTTTTTTTTGAGCTCTGAAGTCAACTTTTCTCACGAGGATGTTTCTGCGTGTTGGCGTCAACGATACCGCTTCTTACATAATATACATCATATAGTGTATATGTTAATTATTATTATTCTCAAATATGAGTTATTAAATTATTATGAGTTCTGACACTAGTTTTCGGGCAAGCTGCGTGTTCCGCAGTATTACCCATCAATAAAATATTAATTAACATCAAAGATATTATTACAGTGTCTTGAATCACATTTAAATGTAATCGACGGCAATAATCTTATTAGTTGTATATTACATTTATAACTGTAGTACTTATTCAAATGGTTCGCGCGTCAACCGGAATATGATATTTGATTTATTCTAATGTCGTATTTTATTAATTATTACTTACCTCCCAGAGTACTGTTTCCGATAATTGTTGAACGCAGTCAAATGGGATTCGTGCGTATATTATGAAAACTGAAATGTAAATATAATCTCAAAAACTAAATGAAATATATTGGGAAATAAATAAATAAATAAATAGGTAAACAAAAACAGTCGTTGAATGGTCAGTTATTTAGTATCTTAAAAACATGTATATTTTCTATCAGCCGATATTATAATAATTAAATATATTTATTATAAAACCACATAATATCATAATGTAATATAGCTTTAGCTACAGCACCTAAACCGAAATGATTTTGAATTAATCAGCGGAGAAAAAATTAGCTTACTTGAAGTGCAAGTGCAAATATTATATTTTATAGTATATATTTGAAATATACTTAACACTTGTTGATGACTTCAAACTAGTTTCGATTGTTCTAAACTATGGGTTCACTATATTTATAGTGGACATTAAATTTATAATCCATTAATTCAAAACGTTAAACTACTTGATTAACATCGTAATTATTACTTAGCAATCATCATTTTTAATTGCTTTTGGCCTATTTTTTTGGATTCTTTAATTTTAAACTTTAATATATGGTAATAGCGTTATCATGATTCAATGACTTATTATTATTAAGGTTGTATAAATCTTATTGTTAATTTTTTTCATAATTTTCGGATAAAAATCGCGTTAATAATTGGTACATTACTCGTGTTGGGTATTTAAAGTATGTATGTTATGTTCTAATCTTATAGAATTCCGGTGAATTTTGTTTTAAACGGCGAAGAATCAAAATAATAAAACTAGAGCTAGTGAACAAAAGTAATCACATATTTCTAAGTGTTGTGTGTCTAAAATTTCTCATTTTCGTACACTATAGTACTTACGACTTGTATTTACCTAATAATAAAAGTATAGGGTATTTCATTTTAAGTTTCTAGAAAAAAATTCAACTTGTATAAATCTAATATTATGTTAGGTATTAACCGTTTCTCGAAACTCTACATTTGTTTTCTAAACTTGTAAATTTTTGCGACCGGTCGACATCAATCATGTGTACACAATAAAACCGTATTGCCACAGGAGAAATAGATAGCCGGAAAATAGAAATGTTTTTTTTTGTCAACGCATTCAGTTGACCCGCAGCCATCTGCAGTTCAAAACGAAAGCGCAACGTCCTCGATAATCATCGCAGCCACTAAACTATTATGCTTGTAAGAGCTTGTACTACACGAGGACATACTCATACGACAAATAATAATAATAATACATCAATACGCAGTCGCATAACGTGTAACTGTATAAACGTACAAAGCTTGTAAACAATAATATTTATTTAAGATTCGGTTTCATACGATCTTGTCAGTTGTCACAATTTAATTATCATTGTGTGTAACACAGCAAATTATCTTATTCCCAAACAGTCATCTGTTGTTATTCTTTAACGACGGAATCTATTTCCTGGAAGGCGCTCAAGTCTCGGTCCTACTAATACATACGAACGTTTCGCCTAACAGAAAAAAAGGAAGCCTCGTTACGCGTTTATGAAAAAAACAAACAAGTACCTACATTATACATAGATTTATCCGTTCAACAACGAAAACAACAACAGCAATAATAAGCGAACCGTATAGTCGTTAATACCTGCATTTAAAATTGCACCCTAATTTAAAGAGTATAATAATGTAACCCGTCTCAGTCACAGGTAATATTAATTAGTCAATTTCACCAGCTCATTTGTATACGAATAATGGAATATTCAATGTATCCTATATATTATGTGTTGTCTACGCTGCAGTAGCCATAATATTCCATAGCGTTTAAATAAATTACCTTTGTACACCCAATCATAGGCAATCGAATAGAGCGTCGAGCAACGATTTTTACCTAAGCACATAATGTATATGTTTTGACATTATAGGTAATAACTAATAACACACCGAAAAGAGTAATATTATATTGCGAGAAATAACAATGATTCAAATTTTAGACTCACAAGACGCACACTTATATGTAATTAGATGTAAAATAATTTTACACCAAGGTCTAACAATAACTAAATATATACCCTACACTTGGAATTTTATATACAATGAAATGTATACCCGTTCTGTGTTTATACAGAAATATATATATTATATATATACCTATATAGTTTTGAGTTGTTCTCCCGCAATACTTAATAGTTAGGACTAAGTAACAACGAGTGACCATTAGAGAAAATGGGGTTAGATGGTAGCTGTAGGTTGTTATTGTTGGCTTTAAAACATTATTTGACGGGGGGGGGGGGGTTAATCTCCATTTGTTTTAATGTTTACGCTTTTCAGGTATATTTCACACAATAAACTATACAACTTTCGAACATACTAAATGAAAAAACTATCGAGTGTGGACCAATTTGACGTATAGAAACTAATGGCAGTAGGTAAATGAAATTACAGGCCTTAAAAATGTTGTATACAAGTAAACCGTTTCGAATTTAAATTTCAGCGTAAACCTTTGCGAGTTGTATAGGAGATTAACGATGATTTTCGTAACCCGTAGGATTAGTTGGAAAATGGTACAACGGAACATAAAATAGAAGAAAAATACGTTCTCATGATCTGTCACACAGACATCCGGCAAATGGTAAAAAAAAAAAAGTTTTAGTAGGGAATTGGGCATACACTAGACTCTAGAGTGTACCTATTTACGTATGTTGCAAGTAGAAGCATCGCCAGGAGAATGCTAATGTGCGCACATTCTTTTCCCAAACGCGAATTTCGGATAATTAGGTTTAAATTCGATTTTAATGTCCTTGATTCCGAAGATGAACATGAAGCCCACGGGAGAATCACGTCGTTACTTGTGTACTTGTGCAGGTCGAACTGCATATTTTAGAACGACATTTTGGCCGTTATTTTATTAGGATTTTTTTACACGATATATCGTTTAAGGCGAAGAAAACCGTGTAACGTACGTTTGGACGTATAAAAAAAGTAAAAAATAAATAATAATAATAGGCGCTTATACAATAAATACATACTCCTGTGCTGTCATAGGTGGAGGGAAGAGTATGTGTGCGCATAATATAATACACATATATTATATGTATATATAGGCCATATAGCCGTTGCAGGACAATACGGCTACCGTGAGCATGAGTTGACCTACCTTTTGATATGATATTGAAATAAATGGTCCGATTCCCATAGGGTATTTTCGATTTACATATTATGTGCATGCGGTATAGGTGGTGGTGCGTATACACAGATAATACACCGCGGTGGCTAAGAAAGTGCAATGCATGTGTGTAAATCGCTCCAGTTGGCATACAGGGGTCTCGTGACAGGTAACTTGACCCTTTCGATCATGTGCACGGCTTATACCCGTGTCCTTTTCACCCCCGGTTCTCCCTTACAATCCCCCCTCCACCCCTCGCATCGGTTATTGTATGTGTACTGGCCCGCGGATCCCTCCTGGCAAACTTCCGGGGTGAGACCGGCCGCGACCTCTACGCTGCCCGTCCGTTTATACTTCCAA